GAACTTCCAAGTTGGGTTTTCATGGGGGAGATTTGAGAGTGGGAGTCTTGCACTCCAGAATTTGGAGCCATGTCTGTCACAGCCTCACCTGGAGCCAGTGCTGGCCATGAAGCTGCTGTGGATGCCACTGTGTGTATTGCTTTTGCCAGTGTAGCTGCTTCTATGTTGGGCAGCAAATGCATTGCTTTGAGTGTTCTACCCCATCTCAAAATAATGTCAGAGCAGAGAGGAGGGGTTTGCACAGCTGCAGGGGCTGTGAGACAAGCCAGGATGAGCTGCAGCCACCCAAGACATGGGCTAACCTAAAAAAAAAAAACTGCTTTGAAATGCTGCATTGAGTTTTAAAAAACCCCAACAACCTCCTTCCTAACACTTTACAAGGAGCCGATCGCTGTAGCAGGGACCTCTAGATGGCAACATCGACCTGAGGAGCTGCGAGCAGGAACCGGGGCCCGCAGAACTGAGCAGCCCGACCCGGCTGGAGCCCCCAGTCCCTCACTCAAAGTGGAGAACACAAGTCAGTGCTGCCTTGGGCACCTTTCTGTAGAGGGCAGAGCTGGCCACACAACTGTGCCTGCACCTTGAAACCCCCTAGACTCTAAAACATCTCGTACTGGTGCATAGAAGGTGGGTGAATTGTTAAAGGACTTTCTCTGCAGTGCAAACTCAATCGATGCTCTCAGCACCTGCTCTGCAGGCACAGGGGAATAAATGTCACGGGGGGTCTGTCAGCTCTGCAAGGTGGACACGGTTGAAGCCACTGGCAGCTCTTTTTGCTGGTGTCACCAACCAGCTGTTCAACCTTTGAGAGTTGCTGGAAAACTGGGGTTCATGGTGGGAAATGGGGGCTGCCTGCTCCTTCCAGCTCCACTCCCTGCAGGCAGGGCCATGGAGGGAGGGTGTAGTGTCAGGACTGCCAATATATGGGTAAATATGGTAATATTGTATGGTAAATATATGGGTTTGAAGGCTGCACTAGCAACTGTTGATTTCTAAATCCCTCCAGTGGCGCCCTCCATTCAAAAGGCTTGTGTGACACCAGAGACTAAAGTTTGAATTATCCAGCTTTAGCCACACGAGTGTGGCTGCAGCAGCACCACCTTTGGCTGGGGATGTCAGGGTGCTGTGCCCTTACTGTGGTGTAACAGCGTGTGCTGGAGGTCGCTGGGGTGAAAAAGTCCTTCCCCTGCCTGAAATGGGACACACATTTTGTACAAAGCAGGACTTGGGCTCCTCTTTTGCAAAGTAGGTCTGTGCTCAGGGAGCTGCAAAGCTTAATTAAGATCCTTAAAAGGACCAAAGGTGCCACATAAATTCAGGGGATTATTATAAATGTCACTGCGCTTTACAAGCTCTGGAAAAACTCAAGAGGAGGAATAACAAGACCTTTCACTTCACAGCCGTTTCTAGCAGGGCTACTTAGAGCTTCGTGCTTCAGCAGAGCAGCCATAAAATGTTGACATTTATAATTAGATGTGCATAATAATCTCTTCATTCTGAAGCTGAAAAGACAGGGTGTGTCTGGAGACGTCAGTCCCTTCCCCTTGCCAAGGATCCCCCTCACTGGGGTTGCTCATGAAACCATCGTTTGGTGAAATGTCTCGAGGCCTGGTTTGAAGAGGTGTGGGATCTTTGCAACTCCCCCAGGGAGCTGTGGGCTGGCCATTTAGTGAATAAAACCAAAGCCTCCGTGTGTTTTTAATCTGATTAGTTGATGATAATCCAGTGGTATCATGCAACAAAAACTGTCCAGCTTTATTAGGCAATCTCTTTTTTAAAAGAACTGTGCTCGAGGGAGCACTTGCCTCTGCTGTTTCTGCTGAAGATTGGCAGAAATGGGTAATTTTCGGTGGTTTTAGTGCTTTGTGAGAGTAGGATTAATCTGGGGCTTGGACAGCTGGGGATCGGTGGATTTTGGTCCCATGGGTGCCATCAGTGGCATTAAGCAGCCCCTCTGCCAAAGGGCCTGAGAGTGGAGGGGGCAAAGGGCTGACAGTGGGGCAGGGCTGGTTCCAGCGCGGAGCTCCTGAATGGATGATGGGGGACCTCTCCCCGAGGCCGCTCCTAGCACTGGACCAATTCCCGATCAAGCCCTAGGTCGGTCCCGTATGACGCCAGTCCCAGACCACCGGCTCAGAGCTGGATTGAGGAGGATGGAGGATTCCCACGGGAGCCAGTCCCGAACCACTGCCTCAGTCCTGGATCGAGAATGGGGAACCTCCCAGCAGCTCGGTCCTGGAGCATCGGGCCGGTCCCGAACCCCACCGGTCCTGGAGCATCGGGCCGGTCCCGAACCCCGCCGGTCCTGGAGCATCGGGCCGGTCCCGAACCCCGCCGGTCCTGAAGCATCGCGCCGGTCCCGAACCCCGCCGGTCCTGAAGCATCGCGCCGGTGCCGCTCCCTGTGGCCGGTACCGGACCGTGCTATGCGTTCAGCCGGACCCCCTTCAAGTCGAACGGATGCCCGGGAGCCCGGGGCAGCCCCGGCCGGGGGCAGAGCGGTGCCGGTGCTGCGGGATGGGCGGCCCGGCCCCTGCCCCGCTCGACGCCGCATCACGGTGAGTGACAGCCGCCCCGGCCCGGCCCCGCCGCACAACCCGCCGGGCTTTTCCAATCAGGCCGGGCCGGGGAGGGATTTCCTGCCGGGACGGGGCCGGCCCGAGTGGGACTTTGCCGAGTGCTTTGCCGCCTGCTCGCCGGGATCCGCGGCTCCGCTCCGGTACCGGCGCCGCTCCCGCCCCGAGCGGCTCGGGAAGTTGTGGCTGGGCCGGGCTCGGCATTGCTCGGTGCGCCGCGGTCCGGAGCGGCTCCGCACGGCGCGGGCGGCTCCGGTCCGGTGCCGTCGGTTCGCCCCGGCGCGGTTCGGTTCGTCCCTGTGCGGCGGGCTGGGAGCGCCGCCAGGTGAGTGGGGCCAGCGGAGCCACTCGCCCCGGGAGCCGCGTAACAGCTCGGCTCGGTGGGGGCAGGAATCCCCCCGAGCGCGCCCGGACGGAGGAGCCGCCCCGCCCGGGGGTCTCGGGGCGGGGGAGGCGGAGGCGCGGCCGGGCCCCCCTCGCTGCCCGCCCGGCCGCGGGGATGGAGCCTCCCGCGGGAACCGAGCTGCCCCCGCCGCCCCTCGGGAGCCGGCTGGGTGCCTTCAGCTCCTTTGCATCTTTCCTCCGCCACTTACGTAACTGGTTTAGGTTTGTTTAGGGGTTTTTCCCCCTCCTCTCCCTCCTTTTTTCCCCCGGCGCTACCGTTGGCTGCGGGAATGTTTGGGATACTTTGGTTCTCCAGGTGGATTCCTGGGCTGGAGGCTCCGCTCTGCTTGTGTGGGAGGGATGTTTTGCTGTTGCTTTTCCAGCTTTGTGCGTTTCTCGAATTTTACCTTCTCTGCTCCTCTCTGGAGAAGGTGAGGAGGTCAGGTCTGCGTTCGGAGCTCTCGGTGTCCCCGAGCTGCCCGCTGAGCCCCGCGTGTTCCGGGAGCCGAGGCAGCAGCACCGGGGCCGTTTTCCCAGTGAGGCCGGGCAGACTTTTCAGATACAAAGTCGTCTCACCACCACACGTTCGGCTCTTGTGAGCTCTCTGGAGGAGCAGCACAGAGTTGGATGCAGTGCACAGGCTTAAACGAAATAGTTCTGAAGACGGTGAGACACGAGAGGTTTCGGGAGGGGATTTGTTTGCAGCAAGAGGTTAGTCTGAGTCAAGTGGCTGAAACTTTGTTGTAAGGTAGATAAGCTTGTGCAGGTGCCCCAGGACGAGGGAGGTGACAGCTTACCCGACGGACACCAGCTTCAGTGCCGAGGGATTCATCAGCTATGTGGGAATCACACACCCCCTTGTCCCAGAAGCTAAGCCAGTACCTGAGGATCGTCTTTTCGTCTGCCCTGTGGTGCTGCAGCCAGGGGAGAGCTGGAACACGGTGGAGCCGTGAGGGGTCCATGTTTATGGGCAGCTGCAGCTCCCGGCTGAGCAATGCTATGCCATGGGATTCTCCTTCTGGTTTTGCCCCCACCCCAACGAGACCTGTCACTGTTGCCTTGTGTCCCCTGTGATTTCCATGCTCCGAACAGTGACCTCGATTGCTTGGAGGAAGCGACACCCACTGTTACATAAACTGTGGAGGGCGAGCGCTCTGGGAAGGGAGACTCCACTGAGCCATGGCCAGGGGAACCAGAGCTGGTTCTGATCCGTCCTGGATGGGTAGAGGGGAACTTGTGGGGTGATGTGGCCATGGCCTTGCAGCTGGCACGGTGTGTGCTCCCTGCTTTCCTGCACGCACGCTCCTCCCCGGTGTTGGAGCAGCCTGCCAGATGCATGGCCCTGAACTAGGAGGGATTTTCTTGCCACACAGTTTGGGCAGCCCGGGTGCAGTGTGGGAGCACAGGCTGGGACATGTGAACTGCTTCTGCAGGACCCTGTGCCCTCTCCAGGGTACCCTGGCTGGCCAGGATATGACCCTGATCCTGTTCTGAGCACAGCTGTCCTGCTGCATTACACCCAGCTGCTCACTGGGGCCAGAGAGAGCTCCTGAACTGGTGAAGAAGTGTCTTGGGTCCCAGGATACTGAGCGTCATGGGGAGTTTGAAGGGTGAGGGTTTATCCTTGCACAGGAGGAGAAGAGTGCGAGGCAGGCTCGAGCAGGCAAGACCCACTCCCGTGGGCTGCAGAGGGCTTTGGCTAAACCTCCCCAGCTCCATCCCTTGTGTGCTGCCACCGGGAAAGGCGAGGGGGAGATGTCGTGTTCCCCAAGCCCCGTGTGCTGCCTTTAGGGAGAACGTGGTGTGTGTGGCCCTGGGAGGGCAGGGGAAGAGCTGCACCCCTGCCCTGCTCCGGGGGCAGCACCCTCCGGAGGTTTTCTCCACAGGTTCTTCCCTCTCCGTTTAACATAAGGATGAGCCAAGTCCTTCCAGGACTAAATATAGTCAAAGTATTCGTTCTTCGGCACGGATACAAAAGCTGTCGCGACGGAGCCGGGAGGTAAATGGCCTTTGGGGGCTGACTCTGCTCTTCCCTTCGCAGGTCCCGGGCTGCCGTGCGGGGGCTTGGCCGTGCACGGGGCTCCCCAGCGTGCTTGCAGTGCCGTCACCGGGAGGAATGCCGAAACCAAGGGGCTAATGAGCACCAGAGAGGGAGGATCTATGACTTCCAGATGGCAACGAGCCCATAATCCCTTTGGGAAGAATTAGGGACTCGTCAACGCAGCAGAGCCTGCTGAAGAGAGCGAAGCACGACACCTCTGGCTCCAGGAGTGCTGTGAGAGGCTGAGGGCATCCCAATGCTGCCAGCACTGGACACCCTGCCCCGAGCTGCTTGGCTTCGAGTCACAGAGCTCTGGTGCTGCCGGGAGCCTGTCCCTGAGCACTGAAGTAATTTTTGTTTTAACTGATTGCATGTTCTCCAACCAAACCCCATCTGAGTCCTGCTCCTCCCGACGCAGAAAGGGACTTCTGCCCTTAACAGAGACTTCTTCCTTCTGGTTTTTATGCCCTGTGGGATTGTAAAGTGTCTTTCTACCTGGATTTCATTTCTCATCAAAGTGTGTTTTGAGGAATTAGGGGCTTTTTCCCATGGCTTTATAAACCTCTGGGATCTGAGGGTTTCTACGTGGCCACTGCTCCCACCTGCCTGCGATGGGGCGTGAGCAGGAGCTGATCCAGGCCGTGAAGAACGGGGACATACCTGGTGTGCAGAAACTGGTGGCCAAGATCAAGGCGTCCAAGAGCAGTGAGTACCTGGGCACAGAGCCGTGGGCTCCCTCCCCCTGGCCGGGCACTCCTGCCAGTCCCGGGGTGCAAGTCTCAGTTCTGGCCAAGGCGGGGTGCAGGTGCTGGCTCTGACCCCCGGCACATGAGTTGTGCTGTGGCTGGAGGCGGGAGTGCAGGCACAGCCCGTGCGGATGAATGACTGGGCTGTAAGCAATCCTACAGCTGAGCTGGGGTTCCCCTTGGGCTCGGGGCCAGGGGCCCTGGAGTGTGGGCCACTGAGCAGGGATGGGTGAAGGGAAGCAGCCGTGGCAGGGGGAAATGAACCGCTTTGGGGGGACGCTGCTACAAAGGGTCTTTAGCGGTTGCTGCTCACTCCCAGCCGTATTTATCTTGTGAAAAATTATCATCCCAGCCAGTCGACTGGAACCAATCGTCAAGCCTTGAATTTCAGTCTGGTAATATTTAACCCTTCAGCAGGGCTGTTTTCTTGCCTGTGCTCTCAGAAAGGTCAGCAGCAAGCAGAGCTTGGAGCGAACAGAGGGCTCAAGAGGGTCCTCAAGGGCACCGGGGTCCTGCAGACGCTGCGCGGCGTCTGGAGGAGATGGGGAGGGTGGAAAGATCGATGAGATCGTGTCCAGTGCTACAGAGCCCTTGTATAGAGCTGAGTTCCCGGTTATTTCTCCTGACAGACCAAGAGAAGGAAACTGGGAAAAGTAAATAAAAGGGCTCTCGATGTGATGTCTGGCTGGGGGAAGGTGCACCCTGGCTGCCCGGGCTGTTGGGAGTGTGGATACCCCTGCCAAGGCTGCTCATCGTGGGGGGTCTCACGGGGGTGTGTGGGAAAGCTGAAAGGGAATAAGCTGTCTGGAGGAGGGAGAGAGGAATCTCAGGCAGGAGAAGCTTTAAGGCTTCTTAGGAGCAGCTCAGAGCAGAGAGGCTGGTGCGAAGAAACCCGAGTTAGGCTGGGGATTATAAATGTGAGGAGGGGATCAGCTCCCCTGGGTCATCTACTGGGAAGCTTTGACTGTGGCCAGAACTTTGCAGATCTCAACTGCTGGGCTTTCTGAAGGGCTGGGTGCCACCTCCTCCCCATAACAAGGGCATCTGGTGCCCCTTCCCTGGGTGAAGGTACTGGGTGCCATTGCCTCTGCTGCTCAGGGACTGTGCCTGTACAGGGTCGCTGAGCTGAACAAGAGCAGTCTGCCCATGTGGCTGGTTGAAGGACACCCCCAAGGCAATAAATAACGTGAGTGTCCTGCTGGCTGACGCAGCCCTATCCCCTGAGCTGGTGTCCCATGGCTGGGCAGTGTGGGCAGGTTGGGGTGCCCATGTCTCTCCTTCACCCAGAGGGGTGAAGTCACACTGGTTTTCTCCCGTACCCTCCAGTAACTCTCTCCCAGTTCAATCCCGTCTGTTTTCTCTCTGGAGTCTTGTCCTCCCTGCAGCCGTGGGGCACCCACGTGAACATGTGTGTTTAACTCCCCTGCTGCAGCGGCACCAGCAGCTCCCTCAGCTTATTTTCATTTTGTTCCTTTATAAGAAAGGGCCAAAATACCCTGACCCCTCCAAGGCCACTGCTGCAAGCCCTCAGAGGAGCTCCTGTGCTAGACTTGCTGTAGGGCTTGGAGGCTCATCCCTGGCATGGAGGGCACCACTGTTCCTTATCCCTTATGGTTCCCTCTCCCTCTTCTCACCGATGCCATGTGAGCCAAGCATTTGCTGCCTTTGCTGCTCATTAAAGCGCCTTTTCCATACGACAGGCTGAGATGCTGACTTTTATTTTATTTTTTTATCATATATTTTTTAAAATCCCTCTAAGAGTCCTTCTGCTGTCTCAGTGGATTGGGAGCTCGATCGCTGTGATCAGCCCTCTGGGGCTTTCTGTGCCTAAAAAAGTCACCGCACGTAAGCAAAATCCAAGCGCCAGTCCTGGCAGCGGGAACTTCAGGGACACGTTGTTTAATATTCTCCGTGCGCAGCCGCCTCCCCGCGCAAGCGCCGCCGCACAAGTGGGTCACAGCACCTCGCATTCCAAGGTGCTGGGGTGGGACAAGATTTTTGGGGGGCAGGAGCCAGGAGGGAAAGGGCAGGCGAGGGCAGTTGTCCAGCCTGCGGGAAGGGGATGTCGGCGAGACGCTGTGGTCACTCGTGCAGCCAGGGAGGGGGTTCTGGTCTGGGAGAGCCAGGCTGCTCCTGCCGGGCCAGCCGTGCTTTGCTGAGGTTCCCTGGCAATGGAAACATCCCGCTTTTTATTTTCCTTCTCCCTCTCCCCTCCCCTCTGCTTCGGGAGCGCTGCAGAGTTTAATTGAAATTGTTAAACGACCCATCACGGCTTTGGCCTCTCTCCCCCACGATCAATCACGTCCCTGGGCTGCTGCCCTCGCCAACAATGCACCAGTTGGCCCGGCCAGGGCCAGCACTGAGGGCTTGGGGCTCCTGGGGGAGATGAGAGGCAGAGCCTCTCTGGCCAGGAATGTCCTGGAGCTGGATGGTGCCCGGCAAAGTTTGGGTGTCCCCATCCCTGGATGCAGGATCAAGGGACAGGGAATGGGGGGAGGCCAGGGTGATGCTGGGAGAGGGGGTGCCCCTGTGATGGCCGGGGGTGGAGGAGCTGTGGAAGGTGATGGGAGCTGGACTCACTGTTTGCCTTCCTCAAGGGAGTGGTGAGGGTTTTTGTTTAGACCTATGCGAAGTGCAAAGAAAGGGCAGCAGCTGAGCAAACTGGTGTGAAACTCTCAAGGACAGGGAGCAAAGCCCTGCTGGGATTTAGCTGCTGCCTTGAGGAGGTCTGGTCAGTCACTTGCCCCATTTTACCAGGTATGTTGGTGCTTTCCAGACCTTAGATATTAAGGACTGGGGTGGGCTCCTGGAACATGGCTGTGTTTGGGCCATCACCTAGCAAGTTGCAGAGGGGTCTTGGCTTTATCTCCGTGCCTGTGTTGGAGCCTCTCACTGCTACATCCCAGCAGCACAAAGCATGTTAAGCTTCTCTCAAGAGCTGTGCCAGCCTCAGATGCTGCCACCATCCAGTTTGGCAGGAGAAGGATGATGTTGCTCCACGTGCTATGAGACTGTAGCAGGAAGATGTGGGATAACTCACTTCTTCTCTCACCCTTGAATTTTTTCCTAATCCCAAGTAGCTGTGTCAGCTTAAGCCTCAAAGTGTGAGGTTTAATATCTCTCCTGTGATTTTTTAGCCTTTGTCACTGGTGCTCTGTGTCCCTGTCCTCTTCAGAAACCTCCACCCTCCTTTCATGACCTGCCGGGATTTATGCTTCTCCCAACAGCAGCAGGTCTGTAGTTGTTTGGTGGAGAAGTTGCTTCTTTTTGCAATCTGGGAGTTATTTTTTAATGGTGTTGGATGTGCCTTTGTGCCAGGCAGCAAGCTCAGTGCAGAAGAGAACCATCCTCCTCTTCACTGCTGCTACCAGCAAGGCTTGTCCCAAACCCTCGGGTACTCCAGGTGCTATTCCTGGTCTGGCTGCAGGGCAGAGCCCAGACTGGCCTTGGGCAGGATCCTTATCGTGTCAGGCTCTGTTACACCCGATGGCTTTCCCTGGTGGCAGTGGTGCAGAGGTGCCTGGGCACCTTTCCTGCTCCACTCCTGCCCCGGGCAGCGCAGGCGGCTGGACCCGGCTGTGCCACCGAGCACAGGTGTGACCCTGGCCACGTCCCTTACAGCCTAAGTTTGGAGGACGAGTTCCCAAAGCTTCCTTGGCTGTGTCCTCCCCTCCTCTCCCCGCACGCTGTAGGTCTGACGGGCTGGACCGGCTCCGCAGCCGCGCTCCGACTTGGAAAGGCTGTGGGCACGCCTGCGGAGAGACGCTGAGAAACTCTGCCGAAACGGGCAAAACTCCCTCTTCCTCCAGGACTGAGCCAGGAGCGGGGTGAGGCACCGTGCCCGGGGAGCCGGGCTGGCGGTGGCCCCGTGCCGGGGACCCCACCACCCCCAGCATGCCCAAACCTGCTCCTGAACCAGCCTGCGGTGGGTGGGTGGTAGGAGCGGGAGAAAAGAGGCTTCAAAGGCTCCAGAGAGTGCGGCAGCCACGGGGCTGGATGGTGGTGGGGCTGCAGCTCCATGGCAAGGTGGGGTCAATCCTTTCTTCCTCCTCCTGTGGCTCCTGACCTCTCTGGAAGTGGAGGGGTCTCCTCTGGTAGCCTAGTGTTTGCTGGCTGGATTTTCCCATCCACATCCTGGTGTTCCCACCTCTCTTGCTGGGAAGGAAAAGCCCTGCAGAGGCAGCGGAAGGAGTGAAGGGACAGTTGGTTTTCAAAGCTGGGCTCCAACGGGTGTTGTGTTTGGAAAGGGGCCCGGCTGCCACCGGAGCGCCCGGAGCCAGGGAAGGAGTCGCTGTGCCGAGTGCAGGAGATAAGGCACGAGCAAACATTGTCACACGGGGAGATGGAGGAGCCTGTGCAGGGCATCGGCTGGCCCAGCCCCTGCCCCTCTGCACCCCACTTCCCTGTGTTCACAGCTCCACATCTCCCCCTGTTCCAGGGCTGTATTTCTGTCCCCAGCCTTTGGACACCCATTGGCAGGGCAACCTGTGGTCCTTGCTGTCAGCCTGGGCTACTGCAGCTGACTTTTTCTTGTCTCCGTAAAAGAGTGTGGGGAAAACCAGGCTAATTCTGGGGAAGGGGATAAATGTGGGGACTTGTGAGCCTGCTCCAGGCTATGCTGCCATCCTTTGGAGATGGCCAGACAGTACTGGGGTAACCCAGGGAATCTGGGATCTCCTGGAAGTGTGGAGGTCCCTCAGGGCCATGGATGGAGCCAGGCTGGCAGCCGTCCCCAGTGTCACAGGAAAGAGGCTGAGGTTTGGGACAGGAGGGGAATTTCCATCCCTTGGGCATTTCCTGGTGACTCAGCCCAGACCAGGGGGCTCAGCTACTCCTTCCCAAGGGCTGCAGAGGCCGTTTTGGCTGTGTGACCCAGAAACACGCCACACTTCAGATGAGGACAGCTTGCAGGCAGGCAGGGAGGGCAGCCCCGAGCCCTGGGACTCCGTGTGCCTGGCT